ACAATCCATTTATCAAGTGAAAAAATGCACCACTACAACTCCATGCCTCCAACAAATATACCGTTATGCAAAGGAATGCAATCATGAATGAAAAAAAATAAAAAATGCATGTATGTAAAAATTCGTGTTACAACGATGATGCACCGTGAAAAGTTGCAACACGATTCCTATTCTAATTCAAACAATGCAAAAATCGAGAGATTTCCTTAAGTTAGAAAACCCCTCATAATCTAATGTCTTGGTGAATATATCGGCTAAATGATTCTCGGTCCCTATGAACTCAATGCAAAATATGTATTTCTCAACCAAATCCCGAATAAAGTGATGTCTTACATCTATGTGTTTTGTGCAAGAATGTTGAACCGGATTTTTTGAAATATCAATTGCACTCTTGCTATCACAATCTACGGTTAAGAAATCACTATGACGACAATAACTCTCAATCATTTGATTTATCCGTAAAAGTCGACAATAAGAAAATTTTGTTTTCAAATCATGCAAAGACACCATATTATTCACAAGAATTCTCTCAAAGAAATTATCATTACCACTACTAAAAACACCACACAACTTTCTTACCATTAGATGAAACAAACTACCATTTGTTACCTCACCAAAGGATCGCGACAAAGGATGGAATCTCCGAACTACTCTTCTCCGATCAGGAACATCATCATCAGATCTTGTCTCAGCCTCGGAAATGGTATTTTGCTCGTCAAAGATACGTGTCGCTGCAGATGCTGTGTCTAGTGCTGTGTCAGGTGTCATGACATCTGGGGCGACATCAGGGACGACACCTGGAGCAGCACTACATAGCGGAAGGTCCATCAAGTCCCGAACGTCATCTTCAGCAGTTTTGACCCGATAACAATTTTGGGTAGTTCGTACACCTGCCAAAATACATGAATTAGACTCATCAAAAACTTCACAAGACTTACTATCAAATTTGACATGGAGATTATCATCACAAAGTTGACTTATGCTAATCAAGTTAGCCTTAAGTCCATCAACCAAAAACACGTTATGAAGCTTTGGGAGGCCTTCAACATTGAGAGTTCCACGTCCGATAATGTTTCCATGTTCACCTCCTCCGTATGTAACACGCCCACCTTCACAAGGTTCTACGTTGGATAAGAACTCACGAGTGTCGGTCATGTGACGCGAGCACCCACTATCGAAGTACCAAGATCCTGCAATGTTAGACTTCAAAGATGTCTGAATTACATTGAAATCAGATTTTGGAACCCAAACAAACTTTGATTTACTCTTAGTTTTAGTTCCGTGATT